TAAAATTCATGATAGAACTTTAATTAATTTTTAAATGTTTCGTAAATGCATTTAAATGTTTAAATGTATTGATATGCAAGAAACCGCGAAAGCGATTGCTATTTATTTGAAAAATATGTTTTTTTTCAATTTTCAAATGAAAGAAAATTTTATTGTCAAACAATTGGGTTGCTTATTTTGAAATCATTAATTGACATTGCAATCATTAATTTGCAATCATTAATTGACACAGACGAGTGTTAATATATAATAATGTCCTGAAGAAACTGTTTTCGTAACAATGAGAACAGAAGCAATGCAATTATTTTTTTAACTTCTATTGTAATTACAAAATTATGCAATTGAATATTTTCAACGTAATAAAAGGCGAGCATTGACTCAGTATAATCAGTTTGGAATAAGTCGAGAGAGAACTTTTTTCATATTAAAATTTTGTTATCTTTAAAATCTCAAATAACATATTTAATAATTAAAACAGCAATTTATTTTTTTGTCTAAGTATTGGGGAATAACATCATCGCCTTTGCATAAACCTTCGTAAAAACTAAACTAAATGAAAAAATTTAATCAAATTTGTCTAGCGTAAATAATGAATCAGTTTTTTAATACATTGTCTGATAAAGTTAGTGAATAAATTACGTATCAAGTCTTTTTATTTACGTGAAAACTTTATGATTTATTGTCGTCTTTTCCTTGACTTGTATCAAGTTTATTGGTTCTCTTCCGCGGAGATTTTGATTGAACATAAGGCGCTATATTACTCCTAAAATCGCTGCGTACAAGAGCCAACATTCTCCTACTTTTTTTAATTAGTTAAACTTAAAGTGACGTCCTTTATGGATGATCCTTGATAACTTTCATAAATTTTATGAAATCACTCAGGAAGACCAGTTTTAAAAAACCAATTTGGAAGAACTATAAAGGGATCCCTAAGTGCTATAAAGATATGACCTCGTATAAAAGAGCATTAAAAAAAAAAATGTTTGATGTATATTATTTTTTCTAAAACGTAATAATGAACACACACTAACAAATTTAATTTCCAAAAAAACGCTTTTCTTCGATTAAAAAAAATGCGTCTTGTTTAAAGTTTATTGACTCTACTGCCTCAAAAAAATAACGTTAGTACGTCAAATTAAACAAAGTAGACAAAATGTCATTATTGCAAACTTATTAGTTGGTAATTAAATTTAAAAGTAAAGTCGTTTTTTTTCAACTAATACATAATTACTTACAAGAATAAGTTTTGCAGCATTTTGTAAAAATGTGTTTGTATATTGAAATTTTTTTTATAATATAAATTTATATATTTGTGTTATAAGGGCAATTCCACGGCTTAAAATGAATAGAAGTCAAATTTTAAACTCTTTTTAGTCAGTTAAAAACAAATGAATATTGACTTAGACATATGAAAGTTTATTTAAAATATTTCCTCAGTAAAAAAACAGTAATTTTTATGGTTTCAAAAGTGACGGTTACTCTCATTTTTGCTTGATAAAAAAAATAATGATTGTAAAATGTTTTAGTTAAATTAACATTTATGTTAAATTGCTATATTTTTTTGGTTCAAATTGATAAGTTTGAATAGACATTTTATTAGAAATTAAACTAAGACAGGGCTCGAATTAATTAACGCAAAAAAATCTAATCGCGAAAAAAAAATTTTTTTTTTTTTCCCCCACCCACCCCACCCCCCTCCTCTTTCTTATAGATAAATCGCGCCGATGTGCGGTAATGGGGGGAAAAAATTATCGTCAATAAATCAAAAAACATTGTCAAAAACTTAATAAAAAATTAGATACCACGTTTTTTATAATTTATTGTTTCTTGAATAAAGGACTAATAAAAGTTTAAATATAATTAAGTTTTTCATTTAAATGGTTGATGTTTTTATTCAATTTTTTTTATTTCAAGTTTTCCACTAAAAGATAAAACAAAAAAACTTGGTTTAATAAATCGAATTATACTTCGTGTTTAAAATAAGGCTTAAAAACGTAAAAGTAAAAAAATTGCTGGTTCTTATTAGCATTTTTATACTGTTTGAAAAAAAAAACTAATAAAAAAGAATTAGTAATAGTAATAGTAATATATTTAAATAAGTCTTTATAGATTAAATGACAAATAAATAAAAAAAACAATCCAATAAACAGATTAAAAAACAAAAGCATTTTTTTTTTTTTTTTTTTTTTTTATTTTTTTTTTTTTTTATTTATTTTTTTTTTTATTTTTTTTTATTTATTTTTTTTGCTTTCGTTTAATTACAGTTTACATTTATGACAAATGTACCTAAAAAGTCGATATTTGTAGCTGCTAAAGCACGAATTAATTAAATCAAACGTGCAGCTCATCTTCAGTAAAAGATGCACTGTTTGCAGCTGTAGGAAAAAAATACTTGTCAATTCTACTTTTGAATGCGTTAATTGACGGAGCCTTTTTGCATGACAACGGTAAATAATTCCAATCATTCACAATACGATTTGTGAAGAAATTATGTCGAGCATTATTGTAAGTGAAATCACGCGTTAGTACGTTGGATGGTGATCTGCGAAGAGATGGATTATGCCAATTAATAATTTCAAAACCATTTTCAAGTTTAAACTGTTGGATCAAGTCGCCGCGTCGCCTGCGAGTTTCCAAAGAAGTAAAATTGAGACGCTGACACCTTTCAGCATAAGGTAAACTTGTTATATCATGAGGAATTTTTGTTGCTTTGTGCTGAATTTTTTCAATTTCTTTGATGTCGCCCTTTAAGTAAGGACACCATACTGGAACAGCAAATTCCAGGTGCGGCCTAACATATGTAGTATATAGTTTACCCCAAAGCTTAATATCTCTTGATCTAAATGTTTTTTTTAGTAGGCCAAGTATCATATTTGCTCTACATGTTGCAACCTGTATGTGTTGATTCCATTTTAGATCGTTAGATAAAAAGATACCCAGGTCTCTTTCAACATCCGTTGCCGCTATAATAAGAGATGTATTACCATCATTCATTACATATTCATGATTTATATTTCCATGACCAAAGTGCATAACTTTACACTTTGCAACATTTAATTCCATAAGCCATTCTTTTGACCACTCTGAGATAATGTTTAAATCATTTTGAAGAATCAGACAATCAGCATCGTGAAACTCAGGTCTTATTTCTTGCAACAGTTTAGTGTCATCAGCATAAATTTTATGAACTGATTTTAAATTATCCGTTAAGTCGTTTATGTAGATGATGAATAATGTTGGACCAAGTACAGACCCTTGTGGAACTCCGCTTAAAACATCGGTCCAGTCGCTAGAGTGATTACCTAAAACTGTTCGTTTTTTTCTGTAAGTCAAAAATGACTCAATCCATTTGCCAACATTACCATTGATCCCATATGCTTTCAATTTATGTATTAGCCTATGATGAGAAACTTTATCAAACGCTTTTGCAAAGTCCAAAAATGCAATATCGACAAAATTTCTTTTGCTTAACGCTTTTGTAATGTAGTCGATACTTTCCAATAAGTTAGACGTGCATCCTTTTTTGGACATAAATCCATGTTGATTATTTGAGATGCAGCTCGTTTTTTCAAGATATTTAGTTATCTGTACCTTGATAATCTTTTCCATTACTTTACATGGAACTGAAGTGATAGACACTGGTCTGTAATTAGCGGCATCAAGACGACTCCCTTTTTTAAACAATGGTGTAACATGTGACTGCTTCCAGGCTAAAGGTGTTAAGCCTTCAGACAGTGCTTTATTGTAAATAAATGTTAGAGGGTAAGTCATTTGAGCTGCACATTCTTTAAGTACCTTTGGACTAATGTTATCAACACC